TGAATACATTTTTATATTATATTTTACAATAGTAAAATTACAACTATACTTTAATTTTAATTTCCTCACAAGCTTTAAACTCTGTTTTTATTTTGGATAAAACTGCAGGGAAACTTTTATGTTTCCAGCTTACAAACACTGCTCATTACAAATCTAATAAAATGCTTTAAAGTTCTGTTCGTAAAAATGTTAGAATTATATGAATATGCAAATGTGAACCTAGTGCATGTTGCGTTCCCAAATGCATGGTAAATTCACAGCACAAAAAGATGCAGTGTTCACAGCATTTCCTGTGAACCGAGCTTCTCTGAGATGCTGAATATCCTGGATCATGAGCTGCTTGCATGCAAAAGAGCACAAACACAGATACTGAGGCCTATCAATATCCAAGTTCATCCGTTGCTCTTTTGTGGTTCTTTTTCTGCTTTTATAAAGGTTGTTATGAATAATTGCTTTTCATTTCAGCACATTTCTGAGTAATTTAAATTCTTTTTCTTTTTCCCCTGTTTGTTCCTCTAGATGAAAACAGTGAGTGTGGCTCTAGTTTTATGTCTCAATGTTGGCGTGGACCCTCCTGATGTAGTCAAGACTTCACCCTGCGCCAGACTAGAGTGCTGGATAGGTGAGTTCCTCCATCCATCCAGAAGTTTTGTAATTTCCTTCATTTACATGTTCAGAGATGATCTGAAATTGAAATGTATCAGACATTCTTTATTGAATAAATCTGTTGCAGTTATGTGCTATGGTAAGGTGGAAAAAATATTGTTTCATGTACATGATTTTGTGCAATAAGGAAGAAAATACTCTACATATATCTGAAAAAATCTGAAGCAAGCAATGTGTTGGAAGTATGGTGATGAATAAATGTTTACATAGCAGTCGGCATTGATTTCTGTTTAAGTCAGATTGATTTAATAAACATTGGCTTTCCTTTATGATTTCAGCTATAAGCCAATTAAATGAACCCTTGCCTTAGAGGAAACATGATTAACATCACTGTTTTGTATTTCAGTAGTTATGATGTGTATGCAGTGCAGAAATATATTTAAAATTCCATACGGATTTGATTTTGTGTGTGTGTTTGTGCCAGGTTTTATTCTAGGATGCCTTTTGTACTTCTGGAAGGTTCTGAATTCTGCATTCTCTGTAAAATAATTTGTATTAGTATATTTTGTATTACTCTGTCATAATATATAACAATACAATAATAGTGTAATAATTTGTATTTTCTCTGGCCTATCTTCTAGACCCTCTGTCCATGAGTCCACAGAAAGCCCTGGAGACGATAGGGGCCAATCTACAGAAACAGTATGAAAACTGGCAGCCTAGGGTAAGAGCTGTCCTCCCTGCTGTTACCTCATGTAACACAAACACATTCTCACTAGAGGTGAAATGAGTTCTGTAAAAAAAAAGGCACTTTGATATGCATGTTTGCACCATGGTCTTGCCACTGGTGTATCAGATTCATAGAAAAATATAAAGCATCAAATAATTAGGACATATGGTGGTGTCCTTGAGTTTGGTGAGTAACTAAAGGAATGTTAATTATTTAGCTAATAAATTAATGGTTTTATCATTTGCTCATTTTGGGGTGAAACTGTCATTAATAGTAGTAAGTGGAAAAGCTGGCACACAGGCAAAATAAACTGAAATTTTGCAATAACAAACTATATTAAAGGAATATTTCACCCAGAAATGAAAATGACCCTTCGTAGGGAGCTTGATTGACAGGCGATCTGACCAATCATAATGCCGAATCCGCCATTTTGTCTGCCAAACAAACCAGACAGGAGAGTAGATTAATATGGGGGGGCTTAAACTTGAAAAATGGTTTATATTGATGTCTGTCTGCGGTTTAAATAAAATAACTTATGATGTTCATTCGTGTTTATTTCATGATTTAAGTATATATGAAAAGATGATCGGGTCACATGCCACTTGAACTGAGGCCCTACAACGATCTGTCACGACACATTAAATAGCCACAAAACGGTATTTATTGTTTGAATTTCTGAGACTGAGACTGTTTCATACAAGAATTCCAAACCAGTATGACTTTATATCATGACACAAAAGAAGAAATTATGACAAATATTTGTAACCAGTTTTGGTTTCCATGAAAAGGTTTCCATGTTTTGCACAGAGGCAGCAAATGCATTTACACAGGAATTGCACTTGCAGTAATGTTTTAAACTATACATTTTTTTTAACTATAAAAATAATTTATAGTTATCAAACAGGAAATGATGAATGAAAAGAGCATTCTAAATAATAAATAAGAAATTATAACATCTCTTTCATAACAAACAACGTTTGTAGGGGTTATGCATTGAGAAATCAAATTTTCCCTGAAAGTTATTGTAATTAGCTGAAAGCTGGTTAAAATATTTATAATTAATTGTGATTAATTCTAAATATTTGTATCAGCAGTACACATTAACTTATATAGTAGAATTCATGTTATGGTTAGCTAACCTGTGAGCATGAGAATGATAGAGTGAGCTGAGCACTACCTAAGTGAATCTTCAGTTTTTTAATTTAGCTTATATTAAAACCTCTATTCAGTGACGTTTTAAATGTTTGATACTTGCATTGTCTTAGACGTTGAATGAGCATCCATATGCAGTTTTGACTGAAATCTTGATGTGTTTTTATGGAATGAGAGAGATTCTTTAGTGAGAGAGGTAGTGGTGAAGTTCAGGGGCGTTCATGCACTCATTATTTTTGAGGGGGCACAAGTTGGGGGGTGGGTTTGTCATGTGACACACAGCAGCAACAATAGCACTTGTGTTTTATTTATTTTTTCCTTTTTATTCGAAACATTCCCAAACGCATTAACTGAATTATCATGAAATATCTTGATTCTCACCTTTAGATTATGTTGATCTATAGTGGGCGATGGTCAAAGTAACCTAATAATGTAATCTATTAACTATGCATAAAACCTGTCTGTTTACTTAATTCACAGATATGGGTGTCATGCCATAACATATTTTTAATACTACTGAGTTTATATTTAATGTGAATTTAACATTGAAATTTAATGTGAATAAAAACATTGCAAGTTAGGCTACTAATCATAACACTTTCATTGTACAGAAAGAGAGCAAAGAACATTTACATTATCAAAGAACACTTTCACTGACAGTCTAGTTCAAGCACTCTCAAATCTTCAAAATCCACTTGGCTCAAAAATCTGAGGGGGCACGTGCCCCCTCACTTTGAATGGGTATGACGCCCTCCGCTTCTGAGGTGAAGCAAAGAATGTCGTGCTACGATAATGGATGGTTTTCTTCCTGACTCAGAGAGCTGACTGTGGTGTGATAGGATTGCTCACTAAAGGTCTGACCTCAGACAGTGGTCTTTAACGTTTACAAAAGTCACATCTTGTGAAGGTGGATTGACTGATGCAATGGGTTCATTTTGAGCATGATAATTTCCTTTTTTTTTTTACGTTATCAAATTTGTGTGCAATTAAACTCTTAATTATTGTAACAGGAGAATGCAAGTCATGGGAAAAACGTAATCACATCAAGTTACAGACATATTCAATTCAATTCAAGTTTAGTTGTATAGCGCTTTTCACGATACAAATCGTTGCAAAGCAACTTTACAGCAAATTAGGTTTCTACAATATTTAGTAGTCGCTTACGACAGTAGTCGGTGACTGTCAGTTAATGTACATATGGCAGAAATGTATGGAAAAATCAATTAAAGACGGCCTTCATTATCGCTAATGTGACCACGCCCACGCGCCGATCGCGCTTTTGATATTACAATCGTCCACTTGAAACATGCACATGTAAACGCCCACATCACAGCTAACAAAGCAGCGAGGCGTTTCCTAGTTTCTGTGCTATGGTGGGGCCTGAATCCTGACTGAAATTCTTCATAGAGATAATTTTTTTGCAGGAAGGAGCAGAACTGAGCAGACACAAATTTCTCTAAAATGTTAGACATAAACGGAAGATTTTGAAATGGGTCTGTAATTTGCCTGTTCACTAGGATCTAGTTGTGGCTTCTTAATAACCGCCAGCTTGAATGGTTTTGGGACGTGACCTAGTTGGTTTAGATGCAGTGATAAGTTTATTTAGCTCTTCCTGTCCTATAGTTGTAAAGCACTGCAGTTTATCTTTTGGTGCGATGAATGAAGCTGAAGTATTATACGCTGTAGAATCTACATTTGTTATTGTATTTCTGATGTTATCTATTTTATCAGTGAAGAAATTCATAGTCATTAAAAGTCATAGTCATTACATAATTCAAGTCATTACTATTAAACTGTGAGGGAATATTTAGATCGGGTGGTGTCTGGTTATTTGTTAATCTAGCCACTGTGCTAAATAAAAAACTTGGATTGTTTTGGTTATTTTCTATGTGTTTGTGGATATGCACGGCCCTGGCAGCTTTTTAGAGCCTGTCTATAGCTGGACATACTGTTTTTCCACGCAATTCTAAAAACTTCCAAGTTAGTTTTTCTCCATTTGTGCTCAAGACTATGAGTTTCTTTCTTGAGAGAAAGGGTATTACTGTTGAACCGTGGCGCAGTACGTTTTTCTCCAACCTTTTTCAATTTGATGGGGGCAACAGCTTCTAATGTATTAGAGAAGATAGTGCCCATGTTGCTAGTCATTTCGTCTAGTTCATGTGTATTTATTGAGCAGTTGAGATAAATCAGGCAGGTTATTTGTGAATCTGTCTTTGGTGGCTGGAACAATAGTTCTGCCCAGACGATAACGCCATATAGTTAATATTAGTAATACGCAGCATGCACGATACAAGGAAATGATCAGTAACATCATCGCTTTGAGGTACAATATCTATATCAGTAAGATCAATTCCATGCGATATAATTAAATCTACCGTATGATTAAAACGATGAGTGGGCCCGGTGACGTTTTGCTTGACTCCAAAAGAGTTTATTAGGTCAGTAAACACAAGTCCTAATGCATCATTTGTATTATCAACGTGAATATTAAAATCTCCGACAATTAGCGCTTTATCAACAGTAACCAATAGGTCTGAGAGGAAATCTGCAAATTCTTTTAGGAAATCTGTATACGGCCCTGGTGGTCTATACACAGTAGCCAGAGCAAGAGATACGATAGATTTCTTTTGCATATCTGACAGTGTGACATTAAGCAGAAGTATTTCGAATGAGTTAAACCTTTAGCCTGTCTTCTGAGTAACATTGAGAATATCACTATATATTGTTGCAACACCGCCGCCACAACCAGTCTGACGGGGCTCATGCTTATAAGAAAAAGTCTACTGAACTTTTCGTGTCCTCGTCGATACGTGGGAAGCGGTCCTAACACGATGATCGCCGTCGCGGGTGATGTGATGCGCAATGTCTCGATCAGGCTCCTGAAGTCCCTCTTCGGCGTCTCCGTCTGCCGCAGCTTGGTGTCGTTAACCCCCGCGTGAAGCACGACCGCTCAGGGGCCGTAGCACGGACGTGCCGGACGATGGAGTCTCCGACGATCACAGCGTCGCGTTCTGTCTCGCGGAGGGGAGCGAAGCGTTCCAGGTGGAGATCTCGAAGACCAGAGGCGGCGGAGTGGGAGAGGTCGTCGCCCGGGGCCTGGCTCGCGTCTTCCAGTACATGGTGTCCCGGCGCCGGAGTGAAGGACATCTGGGAAGATGTCGTCCTGGGTGCTCTGGCCTGAGCAGAGAAACACACGGAGTAGAGTTGGTGGGACTGTTATTATCGCGCTGTATACTTACCCCGGACTTGTGAGCATCAGCCCAAGATGTTTCCAACAAGGCTCTCCGCTCTATCAGCTGGGCCTGCCTCTCCACCAGGTCGCAGATCTGCTTCTCCATGGCCTCCAGCTCGAGCTGAACGTGTCCTCACCTGCACACAAAGGTAGACACACATCCGCCATTAAAGCAAGTAACAGTGAGTAAAACAATGGTAATGTGTGTGAATAGAGTATTAGCAATGCAAGCGAGATTAGCGGCAACCACGTTGGCGATGCTAACGGGCTATAAGCTAATAGCGGACTCGGGAAATCAAAATAAAACTAGTGATAACGATGCGCTCTTGATTGTTTTTGTTGTAGAATACAAAAGGGATATATTCACATGTTATATAAACGAAAATGATGGTGTATAAAATAGATTTTAAGATGATAAAAAAAAAAGATGATAAAGAATTAACTTGATGAAGCTCAAACTCAAAACACACGGCAGCAACAAACAGGAAGTGACGTCTTCCGACATACAGGTTATTTCCACAGCAAGAGAAAAATAAATAATTATACATATAGTAAGTAGGCAACCAAAATGCCTATTACCACCGCAAGGCCACAGCGTTAAATAAAACTT